CACACACACACACACACACACACACACACTCACACCTGGATCTTCAGTCTGGAATACTAGCACATATTTGGATACCTCCATACACTCCCCTGCTTGGACCCCAACCAGGGTTACAAATATCTCTCCGCAAATTTCATTGGAATATTATGCAATTCTAGTTATGCCTTTACTTCAAAGGGCTCTGTATCAAGTTCCTTAAGACAACACGTGGTTTTGGGGACTGGTAGAAAACCCTACTGGGCTCCAATGGAAGCAGGTCTCAGAAGGACTTTGGCTGCATTTTGGGATGTTTTATTAATAAAGCTTTTTTACAGTCTTCTGCTATGGCAAATAAGCAAATTAGTTCCTATCACCTATCTTTCAGGTGTAGGAAACCTGTGAATGTTTTGTTTACCAACCAGAGAGATTACCCTGGTTTATATTTCAGATGGAGGAGTCTGCACCAGACAGCCAAATCCTTCGGGGGTCTCAAGGAGAAACAAACCAAGAAAGATTTCACCCAGGCTTTCCCAGTACCTGGATTTTTGTGATTGTTTCAAAGGTACAGGAAGAGTCTGTAACATCATTTGTCTTGACTACCGTTACTGTTACTAACAAAAACCCTTTGTTACCATTCTGCATCCAATATGCATTTGCCACCACTCTTACCACTTTTAGCATCTATATGAGTAGTTCATCATCATATCAACAAGTGTGGCTTGTTGATAAAGTTGTAGAAGTGGGAGCTTCTGGAAATACCTGCCTCTGACAGCCAGCTTCCTGAATGGAACACCCTCAGGCCACCCTCCACCTCTCATTCCTCTTTTGAAGAGTTCCAGAGCCTTGGCTGTGGAAAAAAGTCCACCCTTGACACTGTCTATTCATATATTTAAAAACCCTTAGTGATAAATAACAAATGCTTCTACAAAGACACAATGCAATCATGGACACAGATCATATAGGTTTTACAGTCAACACTCTATGGGGTCAATACACAGAGATATTAATATTTTCATTGCTGTTTCATGAACTTCCCAGGGAGTTTCCATTACTGCTCTGATCTGCAGAAGCTTCATGTGTGTCCCTCCTGATGATATGGGAAATACTTTAATAAAGAATCTTCTCTCTTCACTTTTGCTACAGGTAGCAATATTTCTCATTGACAAGAGCATTTTGATATTCTCTCAAAATCAGGGAAGATGAAAGCTTCTATATTAACAGTAGCATTTAGATGCTGTAAATATTCTTTTTGGCTGAATAACATTAAAAATAATAATTGATTTCCTCCCCATACAGATTATTTTCTTCATCACTCTGCCCTCTTGTAGAAACATGATGATCTGAGCTGTTTGCTTTAGAAGAGACGTGGCTCTAGGAATCTAGAGTAATACCAGTCTTCACCTGGTTTGAGGGGGGGAAATGAACAGCTCCCACACCATAGAGAATATCATTGGGAGACCCCATGATGAATCGGAGCAAGATTTTTGTGCTTATGTAATGAAGAAAAGTCTGTACAATCAGAAACTCATATTGCTCCTGTATAGGTGTCTGGACCACAGAGGAGAATTCACTACATGGTGGTGTGTTTATGTACAAGAGGCTTGGGAGCAGACGAGCCTCTGGGGGGTCCCTGTGCACCAAGGAGGATTCAGGACAGCAGAACTGTTCTCATGGGAGTCGATATTCTCATGGGAGTCATTTGTCTAGGGAATCACTTGGTTAAGCAGACGGGGTCTTAGAACGTGTCATTTCCAAGCCAGTATGCATGATAAAATTAGAGTTACCTTGAGATGTGCCCATATGTCACTGTCGTAGCAGAAAGACAGTGGCTGTTGTTATGGTTATTGTTATGTTAGGAAATTATACATAGTAGGGAATTACTGAGAAGCCCTTTAAAAGCCATGATGATTCCTGTACTATGTTGTAGAGAGAGGTACAAGTATGGGGGAGAGCAAGATGGTACCTTGGTTGAGGAACTGCAGCCTGGAGTTGGTGGAGGCATCTGAGGAGGCTGAGGGCAGCTCCCAGGTGACCATGCACCTGTTACCGAAGGTTGTCCAAGCTGACCCCTTCCTTGCTTTGGCTGCATCATTTGAGGTTGTGCAGTGTTTATGGTTAGTGTTTTCTTTTTCTGAAAGTAGTTTTTCACCCGCTTGTTAATAGTTTTCAATATCTGATGAGCCACAATATTTCTCTCTCTTTTTCTCTCACTTTCAACTCTCCTGCTCACTCTTCTCTCCCTTCCTTCTTCTCTCAGTCTCTGTCTCTCTGTCTCTCTCTCTCTCTCTCACACACACACAGACACCAGGATCTTCACTCTGAAATACTAGCACATATTAGAATATCTCCATCCACTCCCCAGCTTGGATCCCAACCAGAATCACAAACATCCATCTGCAAATTTTAACAACACAGATGATTGAAATTTCATTGGAATGTTATGCAATTCTAGTTCTGTCTCTGCTTCAAAGGACCCTATGTCAAGTTCCTCAAGACAACACGTGGATTGTGGACTGGGAGAAAACCCTACCTGGCTCCAATGGAAGCTGGTCTCTGAACAACTTTGACTGCACTTTGGGATATTTTATTAATCAAGATTTTTACAGTCATGTGCTTTGACAAAAAAGCAAAATCACTTGTCTCAGGTGTAGAAAACCTGTGAATACTTTGTTTATCAACCAGAGAGATTCTCTTGGTTCATAATTCCAGACGGAGGAGTCTGCACCTTGCAGCCAAATCCTTCAGGGATCTCAAGGATAGAAAAACCCAATAAAGGCTTCACCCAGGCTTTCCCAGTACCTGGATTTTTGTGATTGTTTCAGGAAGTGCAGGAAGAGGCTGCAACCTAGTTTGTCTTGACTACCATTACCATTACTAACCAAAGCCCCTGGGTACCATTCTGTATCCAATACACATTTTCCACCACTCTTAACACTTTTAGCATCTATATGAGTAGTTCATCAGGTGTGGCTTGTTGATAAAGTTGTATAAGTGGGAGTTTCTGGAAATATGTGCCTCTGTCAGGCAACTTCCTGATTGGAACACTCTCAGACTACCCTGACACCTCATTCCTCTTTCGAGAGGTTACAGAGCATTGGCTGTGAAAACAAGCCCACCCATGACACTATCTATTAATATATTTTTAAACTTTGAGTGGTAAATGATGAATGGTATTATAACTACAAAATGTGATCATTGACAGAGAGCATACAGGCTCCAGAGTCAAACATACTATGTGGTAAATACACAGAGATGTCAATATAGTCGTTGCTGCTTCATGAACTCCCCAGGGAATTTTCATTACTGCTCTGATCTGCAGAAGCTTAATGTTGTATAGGAGTCCCTCCTGAGGACACAGGAAATACTTTAATAAAGAAGCTTTTTATTCACTTCTGCCACAGGTAGCAATTTATCTCATTGACAAGAGCATCTTGATATTCTCTCAAAATCAGGGAAAGTGAAAGTTTCATTCATAGTAGTAGACTTTACACGCTGTAAATACTCTTTTGACTGGATAATATTCAACATAATAATTGATTTCCTCCCTTCACAGATTATTTCCTTCATCATTCTGCCATGTTCTATAAACATGATGATCTGAGCTGTTTGCTTTAGAAGAGAAGTACTCTAGGAATCAAGAGTAAAACTGGTCTTCACCTGGTTTTGGGGCAAAAAATGAACAGCTCCCACACCGTAGAGAAAATCATTGGGAAACCCCATGATGAATTAGAGTAAGTTTTTTGTGCTCATCTAGTGAAGAAAAGACTGAAAAAATAAGACACCCAGTTTGCTCCTATACAGGGGGATGGACCCCAGAGAAGAAGTCACTCCATGGTGTGTTTATGTACAAGAGGCTTGGGGGCAGATGAGCCTCTGTGGGGTCCCTGTGCACTGAGGAGGATTCAGGACAGCAGATCTATTCTCATGGGAGTAGAAATTCTCATGGGAGTTATTTATGTAGGAGTCATCTTTTCAGGCAGAAAGGGACTTGGAACTTGTCACTTCTACCCCAATCTACATGGCAAAAAAAGACTTATCTTGAGATGACCCGTATGCCATTGTCATTGCAGAGACAGTAGCTGTTTTTATTGTTATATTTATGGAAAGAAGTTATTACTATTATACATAGTAGGAATTACTGAGAAGCTCTTTACAGGTCATGATGATTCTTGTACTATGTTGTAGAGAGAGGTACAAGTATGGGGGAGAGCAAGATGGTACCTTGGTCGCAGGACTGCAGCCTGGAGTTGATGGAGGCATCTGAGGAGGCTGAGGGCAGCTCCCAGGTGACCGTGCACCTGTTACTAAAGGTTGTCCAAGCTGACCCCTTCCTTGCATTGGCTGCATCATCTGAGGTTGTGCAGTGTTTATGGTTTGTGTTTTCTTTTTCTAAAAGTAGTTTTTCACCCACTGGTTAATAGTTTTCCATATCTGATGAGCCAGATTTTCTCTCTCTCTTTCTCACTCTCACTTTCAACTCTTCTGCTCACTCTCCTCTCTCTTCCCTCCTTCCTCTCTTTCTCTGTCTGTCTATCTGTCTCTCTGCCTTTCTCTCTGTCACACACACACACACACACACACACACACACACACACACACACACCAGGGTCTTCACTCTGGAATACTAGCACTTATAGGATACCTCCATCCGCTCCTCAGCTTGGATCCCAACCAGGCTTACAAACATCCTTCTGCAAATTTTAACAACACAGATGATTGAAATTTCATTGGAATGTTATGCAATTCTAGTTCTGTCTCTGCTTCAAAGGACCCTATGTCAAGTTCTTCAAGACAACACGTCGATTGTGGACTGGAAGAAAACGCTACCGGGTCGAATGGAAGCAGGTCTCAGAACGACTTTGCCTGCATTTTGGGATGTTTTATTAAGAAAGTTTTTTTTATAGCCTTGTGCTTTGTCAAAGAAGCAAATTAGTTCTTATCACCTGTCTTTCAGGCTTAGAAAACCTGTAAATGCTTTGTTTATCAACCAGACAGATACCCCCAGTTCATAACTCCAGAGGCAGGATTCTGCACTGGCAGCCAAATCCTTCTGGGATCTCAAGAACAGACAAACCCAATAAAGATATCACACAGGCTTTCCCAGTACCTGGATTTTTATGATTGTTTCAGGAAGTGCAGGAAGAGGCTGTAACATCATTTGTCTTTACTACCATTACCATTACTAACCAAAGCCCATAGGTACCATTCTGCATCCAATACACATTTACCACCACTCTTACCACTTTTAGCATCTATATGAGTAGTTCATCAGGTGTGGCTTGTTGATAAAGTTGTATAAGTGGGAGCTTCTGGAAATACCTGCCTCTGGCAGCCAGCTTCCTTATTAAAACACCCTCAGACCACCCTCCACCTCTCATTCCTCTTTCGAAGAGTTACAGAGTCTTAGCTGTGGAAACAAGCCCACCCATGACACTGTCTATTCCTACGTTTTCAAAATATTTAAGAAATATTGTAACATCCACACAGGTACATGGATTCTGTTTGTGCCCTCGAAGTTCTCAAGTGTTAGTGCCCTGTGTGACCTTTGCAGAACATGTTTAACCTCTATGAATGTCAGTTTTCTCATAATGTGACAAATAATAGCACCCTGAGTGATAAACAATGAATGTTGTTATAAAGACAAAATGAGATCATGGACACAGAGCATCCAGGTTTTAGAGTTCAGTACTACTACATGATCAATACACAGCGATATCAGCAATATCATTGCTATTTCATGATCTACATAGGGAGTTGCATTTCTGCTCTGATCTGTAGAAGCTTCATGTTGTGTGTGTGTGTTCCTCCTGATGGTATGGAAATACTTTACTAAAGAAGTTTCTCTTCACTTCTGCCACAGATAGCAATTAATGACAATAGCATCTTGATATTCTTCAAAATCAGTTAAAGTGAAAGCTTCTGTCATAGCAGTGGCATTTAGGTGTTGTAAATATTTTTTTCAAGTTTATTTATTTTGGGAGTGAGAGAGCAAGAAAGTAAACGAGACAGAGAGAGAGAGAGAGAGAGAGAAAGGGAGAGGGAGAGTGAAAGAGCTAGTGGGTTGGGGCAGAGAGATAGGGAGAGAATGAATCCCAAGTCTACTCTTCACTCTCAGCCCAGAGCCCAATGCAGGGCTTGATCTCTGGAACTGTGAGATCATGACCTGAGCAGAGATCAAGAGTTGGATGCTCCACTGATTGAACCATCTAAGTGCACCTGGTGCCTAAAATATTCTATTTGATTGGATAATATTTAAAAATAATAATTATTTATTTTCCTTTCCAGGGTATTTCCTTTCTCACCCTCTCTAGTTCCTTAAACATGATGTGTTGAGCTGTTTGCTTCTGGAGACATGTAGCAATAGGAATCAAAGGTAATATTTGTCTGCATTTGGTTTTGAGAAAGAAAATGACCAGAACCTGTACTTGAAGAGAATCAGTGGGAGATCCAGTGATGAATCATAGCAAGGCCTTCCTGCTCACCCAATGAAGCACAGACTGAATGGTGAACATGTTTTGCAGGCTCCCTGTGCAGGCAACTGGACCCCAGAGAAGAACTGATTACATGTGTGTTTAGGTGAAAGAGGCCAAGGGGGCAGATGAGCCTTCCTGGAGTCCCTGTTCTCCAGAAGTTTTCAGGACAGGGTAGGAATTCTCTCAGAATAGAAATGACTGTGTCCATATATAAACAGCTGGGGACTTCGAAAGTGTCACTTCCAAGCCAGTATGCATGGTCAAAGTAGAGTTATATTGAGATGTGCATATATGTCATTGTCATAGCAGAGAGACAGCAGCTGAGGTTTCAGTGACTTGATAAGGACACATCCGTGGCCATCTGGGCCTAGAGTCTAACAGGCACAGGTTGCTAGCTCCATCCCATGGGTAAGTACTGGAGAGATTGTGTAGGGATTATGAGTTAGGGGTGCTAACAATAGCAAGATCCACAAGACACAACTTGAGAAACATGTCTTTAGGGAGTTTGTTCTCAAGTGCTACATGTGTTTTGGGGCTAGGGTACAGCCTGGGTCAGATGGCAGCTTGGGGCTTGGGTGACAACCTACATTAGAGAATAGTGATTCAAATGCTGCCTTGCCCATTCCTTAGGCTGCCTGTGTATTTGCCACAGAATGGAGATTATACTCCTGAGTGTAGGCAACCACCGTGGTCATGTCAGGGTGTGACAGAGGCCACCTAGGAGGGAGCGGATGCACGCATGTGCACTCACCTCTCCACCTCATCTGGTCTTTTCCTGTAATTTGAGATTATTGTCCCATAAAAGAGGAACTTACACTCATTATAGTGGTGAAAAATGCTGGGGGAAAAAAGCCAAAGGACCTGTGACAGCCAGCAATGGGAAGATGTGATGTATTGTTGGGGGCATATCAGTGAGGACTTGCTGGGGGAAAGGGAGTTGGGCTGGTGTCTGAAGGTGGATGTATCCGGGTCAGTGAATAAATACAGTGAAAAGATAAGAGTAATGAATTCCCAGCCACAGAAATAGCTTATGTCTACACATCTGAGGTGGGAAGAAGCCCGAATGTGGGAAATGAATCCAGAAGTATGGTCAGTAAGCCAAGGGGAAAGGGGAAAAGGAGACAGGAATCTAAAGGATAAATATCTTCCCATGTTCATCTTTAATGGTCTGGCCACCCCTTACCCCTACTCCTGCACCAAGTCAGTAACCCTCTTGAGATCAGGAATTACTTCAAAATGCATACTTTCAAATAGCAAAGGACTTGTACTACACTGAAATCTCACTATCTGCATTTAATAAACTAATGAGTGACTTTTGTTATGTAAGGAAATTATACGTAGTAGGGAATACTGAGAAGCTCTTTACAGGTCATGATGATTCCTGTACTATGTTGTAGAGAGAGGTACAAGTATGGGGGAGAGCAAGATGGTACCTTGGTCGAGGAACTGCTGCCTGAGGTTGATGGAGACATCCGAGGAGGCTGAGAGAAGGTCCCAGGTGACCGTGCACCTGTTACTGAAGTTTCAGGAATCTGGTTCCATTCTTGTGTTGGCTGTGTCTTCTTTGATTTATCATTGTTTGTGGCTTTAGCTTTCTTTTTCTGAAAGTAGATCCCAACCCTCTGGATGATGTTTTTGTCTATTAGATAAAACATCATTACTACTAAGCCAATCAATTTTTTATTACTAGATTCCAAGTATACTAGAGGTTCTGTTTCAGGACTCGAGGGCACTCCATGGCACCCATCCTCTGAGAGATGACAGGGAGGCATGCAGCCCACACTGACGGGTGTTTGACATAACAGCTGGGAATCTCCCCTCCTCCCTGTGGCCCGAAGGATGCTGCACCAGGATTTGGAAAATCTAGAATTGAATTTGTCTCTTTGGTGAGATACTTTCCTAGTGAGTCTTCCCCTTATCCCACATGTAAAGAGGAGTAATGGCTCCATATCTCCTTCCCAGGGAGTTATACACACAGGTTATAGTGAACAGAGTTCTGAAACATAATTGGTGATTGCCAGCTACAGGTAGATGATTGCTAACTACGGGTTTGTTGACTCCAAACCTCATTTTCATTCTGCCCCTGGAATCCCTTTTTTCTCAATTCTTCTATTTGCAGGTCGAGAAATGAAAAAGAACTAAGTGTTCCGAGGAAGGTAATTAGTGGGAAAGCCATAGTGGAAGCTTCTTCAGTAGCATCTTGAGCATCCTACCTTCGTCGCAAGTGTACCATCCACTGCTTCTGAAGCTTGGTTCGTGGTAGATGGTGATTCATCAGTACTGGATGCTTCCTGCTTTCTTTTTCTCTTGGGAGCTGGTCCCTGTACTTTGTATTTCTTCATAACTGAGGCAGTAAAGAGAACAAGATAAATCCAAAGGAGCTGGTCTAGGGAAACTGCATCACTTTCTATGCTATTTCCTCTAAACTCCTGCTTGTGGGTCTGAGGTAGCGTGCTTCTGCCCCTCCTGTGTCCATCAGCCAGCCAGCCAGGCTACAGCCTCAGGCTGCAGCCCACAAACCCACAAGCCCACCCCTCCATCACCCAGACTCCCAGGTACCTCAGTCCAGCCCTTTTCCAACCCTTTTATCCTATATCTTCCTATTAAGAGTCTTAAGTTTTCATAACCAACGGTGGGTTATCTCCTATAGAAGATCTATTTGAATTACAGCAACCAGGGAAAGGAAACCTGGTCTAATTAATGATGTGACAAACTGGTGATACTCGACTTTTTAAAATATGCTTTTATGATCCAGTGATTTTATACGAGGCAATATTTTCTACATCTGCGAGAGATAAGTTTTTCTTTAAGCAATGCCTCACATTTGCTGTTAGGGAATACAGTAATGATGGAATAAATACTGTAAGAGAGCACTATATAAACTGATTTTGGTATTTTTAAAAGGCATGATTTTTCCTAATTTTGTTCTGTCACCCTGTAACCTTTCTAAAGTGGGGAAGCCTCAGCCTTTCTCGTCAACTCCTTCTGCTTTTTTTCTTTACTCACATCCCCAAAACACACCCTCTAAACTACAGTGGCCCCCTTTGTAGGAAAGGAATTGTCTAACTTGTCAACCTGTTGAAACTTGAAGGGCCACCTCATCTGAGTCATAGATTGGGGAAGGGATCTCCCCGCTGTGCCAGCACCAAGGCTCTGCTGAGCACAGACGACGTGCACATGACAGTGAGAACTCATCTCCGTTACCTTTTCTCCTTTCATTTTTAATAGTTTTAACAATGTCTCCAAGTCCTTCTATGTCTTTGAGCAGCTCCAGGAGTTTGTTCACACAGGTAATCCCCCCGAATTTCTTTTGCATCATGTCAGCGATCTTGACCTTGGTATACTCTTCTTTCATTTTTGGAGTCAGTTTCAAATCAGAATCCATCAGGGACTTAACCATGCTAAACTGATCGTCATTGAGGGGCTGAAGCCCTTTCAGCAGAAGAATTTTCTTGCATTCCTTCTCCATCTCTCAAGGTCTGGCTGAGCCTGCAGGTGAAAAAAAACATAGGGCGTTATATCTTCATCTGGACCATTTAAAAAGCCTGGTTGTGTCCATGTGCATGAGTGGCCCCTGTCTAAGTGTTGTCCTTGAGTGTGTGTGACAAAGACCAGGTGTGTCACTGTGCAAAATGGGTTGAGATCTGCTGTGTTAGGAACTTCTAAGAAAATCTTTTCATTTAATACTGACAGTTGTGTCGGGTCAGGAGGTCAGGAAAGAGGTAGTTGTTTCCGTGTGTGGAGTGTGGGCTGTGCGATGTCAGGGCACCTGCTCCCAGTGGCCATCCCCTGCTGGGGCTGTGTTATCTCCCTAGATGTCTGCCCGCTGGCTCCTGCCCCTGCTACCCTTTCTGATGGCAGATTGGACAGCAGTCTCTCACCTTCCATGACTGTCTCTATCACCAGGGCACTAGCTTCTATGCCAAGGACTCACCCTTATCCACCCGCCTTCCCTTAGTCAGTCCTTCTAGCATCTTCTCTCCCTGAGGTTTGGGCATGTCCTCTGTGTCCTCTGTGCCCTTGTCCCCTGCTGGACTTCTACCTGCTTCCTCATGCACAATCACAGCATTTCTTTTCTGGGACAATTTAGTAGTCCTTCTGCCGGAGTTCTACACTCTGGCTGGAGCAGGGACACTGCACTTAGTCGGCACAATTATTTAGCAGTTGCTTGATTTTACCCTTCTAGGCTGAATTCCTCTCTTAAAAAAAAATTTAATATTTATTTATTTTTGAGAGACAGAGAGAGACAGATCATGAGCAGGGGAGGGGCAGAGAGAGAAGGACACACAGAATCAGAAGCAGCTCCAGGCTCTGAGCTGTCAGCACAGAGCCCGACGCAGGGCTCAAACCCACAGACTGTGAGATCATGATCTGAGCTGAAGTCGGACGCTCAACTGACTGAGCCACCCAGGCACCCCTAGGCTGAATTCTTCTTAACAGTTCTTTTGGAGAGCTAGATGTCCCTCTATCCAGTCATGATTCTGTCCCATATGATGGCTTCCAGGAACTCCCCACTTTCTTTTTGAAAAATGTCTTACTCCTCACCCTGGCTTGGAGAGCCTTGAATAATCTGCATCATTTTTTACCTCTATACCTTTTGTAATTCTTATGGCTTATGCTCCAGAAATATACAACACATCTCGCCTTTTCATGCATCAGGACTTTGTTAATTCCTTCCCTGTTGCCTAGCAAGCTGAACTCACCGTTTTTCCTGTGACTAAGTCCTCAGAGCCTTCACGACTCCGTTGAGGCTTTGTCTTCAGAAAGCCACCAGAGTCCCTGTATTGGACTGAAGGTCACTCCTCTGGACCTCTTTAGCACCTCCCGTACTTCCTTTAGGGCACTCAGTACATGGTATGGATTCCCTTTTTCTGTTTAAATTCATCAATTCATTTAGGGACCATGTGTTTGTGTAGCTTTTGTCTAATTAGCATGCTCAAATTCCCAGGGCTGTGAATTACTCCTTCCTGAGAGAGGGTGAGCATCCTCAGGTTGGTCAGGCCCAGAGACTGAAGGATAAATCCATAAGATGTATTATAGTGAAACTGAAGATTATTAACCACAAGGTAAAAACTCTAAAAGTTTCCAGAAATAAAGACAAGATAACCTGTAAAGATTCAAGGAGGAGACTGAATCTGGTGCTCAACAGCAAGGCTGTCCACCGCAGTAAAAGAGGGTAATTTTCAAATAGTACTTGTCCAAATTCCATATCTAGTTCAAAACTGAATATTGTTTAAGATGAAATTTTTGTGTTATGTGTGCTATGTATGAGTGTGACAACATAATTCACTTGCAAAATAAAATATAATAAGATCCAAGGTGACAGGAGGCTATGTCTAACCTTTATTCATTCCTCTTAAGTATGAACATGCTTGTTTTATTGCCATAATATTGGTGTGCCTGATTTTATTTTATTTTATTTAAAAAATTTAGATGTTTTATTTATTTCTGAGACAGAGAGACAGCGTGAGTAGGGGAGGGTCAGAGAGAGAGGAAGACACCGAATCTGAAGCAGGCTCCAGGCTCTGAGCTAGCTGTCAGCACAGGGCCCGATGCAGGGCTCGAACCCACGAATCGTGAGATCATGACCTGAGCCAAAGTAGGACGTTTAACCGACTGAGCCACCCAGGCGCACCTGGTGTGTTTGATTTTAGAGTAATCATACAGATTCCTCTAGGGTTTCTAGTATTACAGTATTTATTTTTGTTTCTTGTTTTTTTTTTAATGTTTATTTATTTTTGAGAGAGAGAGAGAAAGAGCATGAGCAGGGGAGGAGCACAGAAAAAGGGGGACAGAGTATCTGAAGTAGACTCTGCACTGACAGCAGAGAACCCCATGTGGGGCTTGAACTCACAAACCATGAGATCATGACCTGAGCCAAAGTCAGATGCCCAACTAGCTGAGCCACTTGGGTGCCCTGTAGTATTACAGAAATGCCCCAATTGTAAATCTCAAAACATATGTGGCCCCAGGGAACTGTCCGCATAGAGGGAGGGCAGAATAATTTTGAGAGTAGAATTCTAAGCTAGCCAAACTGATATTTAAATGTGGGGGCCTCAGAAACTATTCTCTGATATTCAAGGCCTTATAGTTTGTAAGATGTAGAAAGACTTATAGATAAACATATATTGGAAGTAATATTCAATAATAAAAATAACACATAGAGCCCAGAACTACTGAAAGCCAGGCGGAAAGGAAGAGTAAGCAACTACCTTGACGAGGTGTGCCTCTGTCTTATGAGGAAATACAGCTTCAACAGAAGACAAGAGAAACAGGAAGCACATCGACAGGGTGGGGAAAGGAAGGAAAACCAAAGGGGCCGTTCACTAATGTATTTGTCTTAAAGGGTGAGATAAAGGCATAAGTAAAAACAGAAGCTCTAGAAAGGAGAATTCAGAAGTGGCATAAACGGAAGTGAGCATAACAGAAACCAAACTGTACCCCCTAGTGATCAGCACACGCAGAAATGGTCCTAATGAGTTAAGTGACAATTTCAGTCAAATTGCATTTATGCCATCTGCCAATATATTGTTAACAAAAGATCACTTAAAGGCGGGGAAATAAGAGAAAAATATTTTATCATGTGGTGAGTAACCAAATGAAAACCAGTTCATCTATATTAGCGTAGTTTTAAATAGATCTGAAGACAAAACTGTCATCAGAGCACAACACAATGACAGAGCTGATGTCCCAGGGAAATAAAACTGTTGTGATTGTGTATTTACCTACTAATAGAAAATACATATTATTTTTGTTCTGTTATATTCCTTTATAATGCTATAAATATTATGTAATTTATTTTATAACATGATGCACATATAATAATATAAAAAATATGTTTGCGGGCGCCTGGGTGGCTTAGTCGGTTAAGTGTCCGACTTTCGCTTAGGTCATGATCTCGCGGTTCGTGGGTTCGAGCCCCGCGTCGGGCTCTGTGCTGACTGTCAGCTCAGAGCCTGGAGCCTGTTTCTGAGTCTGTGTCTCCCTCTCTCTCTGACCCTCCCCTGCTCACGCTGTCTCCCTCTCTCCTAGAAATAAATAAAAATATTAAAAAAATAATAATAAAAACAAAAATAAAAACAGCTCTCAGTTTTGTTAATCATTTTTGTTTTTCTGCTATTTCATTTATTTCTGCTCTGGCCCTTGTTGTTTTCATAATCTTTTTATTTAAGAAAATGAAATGAACTTGTGATGTTGAGNTCGTGGGTTCGAGCCCCGCGTCGGGCTCTGTGCTGGCTGCCGGTTCAGAGCCTGGACCCTGTTTCAGAGTCTGTGACTCCCTCTCTCTCTGACCCTCCCCTGCTCACGCTGTCTCTCTCTCTCTCTCTCTCCTAGAAATAAATAAAATATATTAAAAAAATATGTTTGTACTATTAGGTCATATGTTTCTCTCCATACAGCCACACACACTTTATATATATATGTTCATATATTCATACGTGCATATATAATATACATCATATTATTGGATATATAACTCTGAGAGAAGTACAGGACAAAAACCTCACAGTTTCATAGTAGGTGGTTTTAGCTCATCTCACAATTACTAAATAAAAATTTTAAAAGTCAGTAAAAATTTAGAAAATAGGACCAACACAATTAATAAACATAATTAACTAGGTTTATCTAACATACCCCAAATTCTGAAATCAGCATTAAAAAATCTCACACTCTAACTAAGAGCAAATGAAATATTATTATAACAGGCCATACAGAAAGTTGCTCAACACTTCTGAAAGTGGGCAGGAGAGATCTAATTATGACTGACTCTCTTCCTCTCCCCTGCATCTTGCCCACTAGAAAAGACATCAGTAAATTTGAGGAAGGTAGAAAGTAATACTAACAGGAACTGAAATAATGGCTCTGGAGTATAAGATAAAAATACAACTGACTAAGAGAGGTAAAGAAGCCATATTTGTGCATAACTGTGTCTGTGGAAATGAAATTTTTTCTGCTGTGTGTGTGTGTGTGTGTGTGTGTGTGTGTGTGTGTGTTTTCCCTGGGACCCTGCCACAGCCACCATGTTTCCTGTGTACTTTCTGGGGAAGAAATTAAATACTTTCTCTAAATATAACTCATGGCAATAGTCACCTAGGGAATAAATATTAATATCTTCTATAGTCAAAATGTATCTCTTTGTTCAGGCCTCAGATGTGGTGAGATAAGAATGTCTGGGTTTTTTTGTTTTGTTTTGTTTTGTTTTTTTGTCTAAGCTGTAAAGGATTAGAATCAAGCTACTGTTGGGGTCGCCTAGGTGGCTCAGTCGGTAAAGTGCCTGACTCTTGATTTTGGCTCAGGTCCTTATCTCATGGTTCACGAGTTCAAGTCTAACTTTGGGCTCTGAGCTGACAGCACGGAGCCTGCCTGAGATTCTCTCTCTCTCCCTCTCTCTGTGCTCCTCCCCTGTTCTGTCTCTTTTTCTCTCAAAATACATAAATAAACTTAAACAAATAGAATCAAGCTACTGTTTGTATTTTTCTGACTATAGCTGATACCAGCCCACACCCCACCCTACCGCTAATTCTTTATTATCAAAACCCCCTGGTTGTTTCCTGCTCAGCCAATAGGTGCCCACATCACCTGAAAGAAAGCCCACAGGCCTCACCTTGCTGAATTCCCCACAAGTCCGGATCTTGAGGTCTTCTTCAGAAATGCAGAAATCACTGCTTATTTTGTTTGAGGTAAAAAATAAATCAGCAAAGCCTTTAGAGACTGAATTGCAAGCGATTATAATCTCCCGAAGGGCACAGGAAAAAGAAGTGTTTTGAAAAATAACAAGCAAAAATGGCACCGGGTAGAATCACTTACAACTTCACTAGTTTTGGTTTCCTCGCCCTGTGCTGTCCCCCAGAGAGAGATTATGAAACTGTTCTGAGGCTCCTCCCTCCCTTATTCTTAGGTTTCGATTTCATTAGAGAAAAGAAAGTTTCCTTCCTGTAAATACTTAGTCAATATGAAAAATTAGAGCAAAAATGTAATTGTTTTCACTACAAATTTCAGTAGATGGAAAGAGTTCTGATATTAGAAGTTTGTTATCTAACAGACTTGCATACAGGTCATTAGAAATTATATTCCCTCCAATGATGTTCAAGCATAAGAGGAGTAAGATGAGTCCCTGGGCCGCTTATCCCTTATTTCCTGTTTTCAGAGTCCTAGGAGGAGATGTTGAAAGAGGCATGTATCCCTACCTCCTGGTTATATGTCCAGACAAGTCTGCCATGAAATCAGTCATGGTTTAAATAGTGCCTGAAGCATTCACCCAGTTAGTAACCGAAGTACCTGGGGCTCCGCAGAGGTAGAAGGTGGTTAATATGTGAATCCTCCCTTAGATATATGGCAAGGAAGTTGCTTTCTTAAATATGACTAGGCTACTTTGCCTCGCTGATTAAATTAATGGTTACTCATACTTTCTGCATTATTCATGCATAAACACAGGCGGGTAGCAAGCTCATATCATGACAGTGTTGAAGCCTTTACAAATTCTAGATGAACACTGAACTATGGACTGAGATGGGCTTGATTAACCTTTCATTCCACGATGTTTTTTTCCATGAAGGACAGTGGGTGCATTCCAGAGTACCGGAAACCCTGAGATAGCCAATAAATAGCACCAATCAGCTGACATTATGGTTGTAACCCACCGGGTGATTTGCAGGGAAAATGAAGTCATGACTGGGGTCCCAAAGGGCAGCTGGTGTTGGTAGATGAGCTGAGGTCATATAAAGAGAAGAAAGCTGATTATTTTAATCCAATCTGTAGTCGTAGAGTGGCTAGCTGAAGTCTAGATTAGAGACCGTCTGAAAACTTCACCAAGGCATGAGTGAGTCATGGGAAAGCGAGGAGATCTCCATGGAGGGATGTCCATAAACACCCGTGGGTGTTTGTTGCTTCTTTTCAAGGCTTTAGGTTGCTGTTTTTATGCAACATCGAGCTGGTCTTAAGGTAAGAGGTGGAGAGGAAACTTAGGGAGGTTGGAGAGGGCCCCATCCTATAGATCAGAGGGTAGAGAGCGTATGGGAAGAATGACTGCATCAGGACATTTTCCTGCTCCTTTTCTTTGTAATCAGGTGATGTGGAGTAATACTCTCTGTTGGGACTCCAGCATATGACACACAGATTACTGTCCTCAGCAAAGACACATCAGAGCAATGTTCCATAATTCATGCAGTAAAGTTGGAATTTGAATGGATGAAACAAAGAAATGCTAAGAGTGTATTTTTCCTGACTTATAGGCAGTAGCGAAACAGTGGGTGACTTTTTCTGTGATGCCGAAAGCTCACTAGCAGAACATACAACAAACCTTGATACAGAGGAAAATGGATAAACTTACGTGATTTTGTATTATCTGAAGTATTGATTCACATGGTCAAAATCCCCAGGAAAAGTCCCCATTGGATTGATGTTCCATGGGCCAAAGCTAACACACTAACCGTTCTTGTGAATACAGGCTTATTGGAACACAGATATGCTCATTTGTTTATGCATTGTCTATGTCTGCCTTTGTAGTGAAACTGAGGGGCTGACTAGCCATGCAAAGTTTTCACTCTACGGCTCTTTATTTATTTAAGAAAATGTTTTGTCTTTATTTTACTGAGAGACAGAGAGTGAGCGGGGGAGGAGCAGAGAAAGGGGGAGACACAGGATTTGAAGCAGGCTCCAGGCTCTGAGCTGTCAGCACAGAGCCCGATGTGGGGCTTGAACCCACGGACTGCAAGATCATGACCTGAGCTCAAGTCGAACACCTAACTGACTGAGCCACCCAGGCGCCCCTATGTCTTTTTAAACAAAAAGCTTGTCAACCTGTACCCTAAGCCATCAGTCTAAGAGATAGCAGAGAGAATCTACAGGGGAAAGCAGACAAGTAAGAAAACAATCACGTCAAGAAACTACAGTCAGACCTTTTTGAATCCACACTAGGCCCGTGGAGAAAGGTTTGGTGATAAAGTTTGTGTCTCAGAGGAAGAAATAGAAAGGGAGAGTTGGGGACTGAACTGTGTTCCCCCAAATTCGTATGTTGAAGCCTTACACACCCCTGAGACTGTATTTGGATGGAGATGGGGCCACTAAGGAGGGAAATAAGTTAAAATGAAGTCACAAGGGAGGGGTATTAATCCAATGTGACTGGTACTTTTCTAAAAAGTGGTGGTTTTAACACACACAGAGGCTAGGGATGCGTCCACACAGATGAAGAGGACGTGAGGACACAGAGAGGAGGTGGCCATCTGCAAACTGGGGCAGAGGCCCCAGGTGAAAGCAAGCAAACCTTTTGATGCTTTGATCTGGGACTTCCAGCCTCCAGAATTGTGAGAAAATAGATTTATGCTGTGTCAGCCCCCCTCCCCCCCAGTCTGTGGTATTTTGTTATGGGAACTCTAGCAAAGGAATACAGGGAAGAGTGGTGGCAAAATTCTTCTCCAACAGCTCATACTGGAGCTCCGGCAGTGAGTTTGCTAGTGTGGGAGCCCCAGCTGTCCCCATTGGTGAATTCACAGAACCACCATCTCCCGAATGGCACGCTTTCTCGGGGAAGTCGATTTCTCTTTCAATGGAATTGGAAAGTGTGATTGAGGTTTATATGCTGAATCAGTCTTGTATCCCTGAGATACAGCAACAGTTCCAAGATCCATGATCACTTATCACATATTGAGAGATCAATTTTTAGGTATGTAAAAAAGTACTTTTGCATTTACTTTCATGAGAGAGGTTGACCTTTATTTCTCTTTTTGCTTGATCTTTATCTGTTGACAGTAGTGTTGACATCCCTAAAAGATGCATTTGAGATCATTAATACTCCCTCCTTAGATGTCTGAATTCATCAACTGTGTATTTCCAGAGGTTTTATTATGGAAAGGTTTTTGTTACAACTGAATTTCCTTGCAGAGATATAGTGACATTCAGATGTTCCTTTTCTTTGTGAGAGGTTTGGTATGTTGTGTTTTACAGGAATTTTGTCCATTGGATCTAAGTGACCAAACTTACTGTTCTAAAGTGGTTCATAATGTGTTTTTTGTTCTCTTTCAAATTTCTGTAGGCTCAGCAGTGTCACCTTACATTCCAGAAGGTGGGCATTTCCACTGTCTCTTTATTGTCCTTAAATAGTTAAACAAATCTGTCCAAATCCGCTAGACAGATATGTCTCTGAGGACAGGTATACAGGGAAGCCCGAGGTCTGGGGAAATGGAAGGAGACCAGAGGGCTTGAAGCCCCTGGCACATGCAGCCAGAATGAATCCACACTAAAGGTGTGTTTCCTTCATTCCTATTACTTGACAAAACATGTCCTGCTTTCAAAAAGACATTACAGGGCATGTCAAAAGACAAGGAAAAACTGTCTGAAAAGACAAAACTGGCATCAGAGCCAGACTCAGATATGACATAGATGTTGAAATTAGCACACAGGAAGTCTACAATAACTATGATTAATATGGCAAGGGCTTGTGCTAGTTTCTAGAGATGCCATGAAAAAAAGTCCCGCACATTGGTGGCTTAAGTAACAGGACTTTATTTTCTTTGAGTTCTGATGGCTGGAGTCCAGGATCAAGGATGCAGCAGGGCTGGTTTTCCCAGAGGACCCTCTCTTTGATGTGCAGATGGCCACCTTCTTCACACAGTTGTCTCTCTGTCCTCCTCCTCCTGATGTCTCGGTGTGTCCATGTTTCCTCTTCGCATAAGAACATCCATCAGACTGGACCAGGGACCACCTCTGTGATCTCATTTGGCCTGAATCACCTCTTTAAAGGCTCTATCTACAAATATAGTCCCATTCTGATGTACTGTCGGTTAGGGCTCCAATGTACGAATTTGGTGCGGGGGATGCAAGTGAGCCCATAGTGGGGCTCTGACAGGAAAAGTAAAAAGCCTGCACAGGATGGCACTATAAGCAGAAAGATGGAAACTCTAAGAAAGAATAAAAAAGAATTTTAAGAAATAAAATTGTTGAGGAGTGTTGGGTGCCTTTGTGGGTTAAGCATCTGACTTTGGCACGAGTCATGATCTTGGCACAGTTTGGTAGTTTGAGCTCCATGGTGTGTTCTGTGCTGACAGCTCAAAGCTTGGAGCTTGCTTCATGTTCTGCCTGTCGGTCTGTCTCTTTCTCTCTGCCCTTCCCCTGCTCTCTCTCTCTGTTTCTCAAAAAAACACATTAAACAAAATTTAAAAAATTTTTTTAAAAATGTTGTGACACAAATGATAGGTATTCAGTAAGCAGACACAACCAAAGAAAGGATCGGTGAGGATAGGTCAATAGAAACTTCTTACACGGAAATACAGAGAGAAAAAGAAAGAAAGGAAAACCAGAATAGCCACCATATTTGGCATAATAACATAAGATGTAGCCTATGCATAATTAGAAATCTGGAAGGTGAATAAAAAGGCACTGGAACAGAAAAAATATTGGAAGGAATAATGGCAAAGAAATCGCTAAGATTAATGCCAGACACAGAACCACAGATACAAGAAGTTCAGACAATGACAAATATAAAACCTACCAAAAATTTACCTCAAGTCATATCATTTTCTTTTTTTTTAAATAATTTTTTAAATGTTTTATTTATTTCTAGGAGAGAGAGAGAGAGAGACAGCGTGAGCAAGGGAGAGTCAGAGAGAGAGGGAGTCACAGACTGAAACAGGCTCCAGGCTCTGAGCAGGCAGTCAGCACAGAGCCCGACGCGGGGCTCGAACCCACGAACCGCGAGATCATGACCTAAGCGAAAGTCGGACGCTTAACCTACTAAGCCACTCAGGCGCCCCAAGTCATATCATTTTCAAATTGTAGAAATCAAAAGACAAAGAGAAAATCTTGAAAGAAGTCAAAGGAAAATACAACACACTGTCTACAGAGGA